ATCCCTGACTGATCCCTGACTGATCTCTGACTGATCTCTGACTGATCTCTGTAGCTCGTTCATTTCTGACACTTCTTACCGGCTAACCTCACTCTCTGACTCTGCAGGAAAATAAAGCAGAGAAGCAGAAAATGAAAACCTGCAGAAAACCAAACCTTTTGTTGGTGACAGAGGTCAAACATGTCTAACCTGATGTTTCTTCAGTTTTTCATAAAGTTCTGATTGGACCGGTTCAGAACATCTGAAGGTGAAGACACACTTTGTTCTTTAGACCTGACTCAGCAAACTTTTCAGTGATGGAGCCCAAAGTTAAAAAAAAAACAATCAGTTTGTTCAAAATTAAATAGTTTATTCAGACTGACTGTCCTGATCATAGTAAGAGATGTGCACGTGAGGCTCACCTGTCCCAACGTGCACTCCACTGAGCCCAGGAAGTCGGCTTCCTTCAGCCCGTTGTGGCTGCTGTTGATGTCGAACAGCTCAAAGCGCAGGCGCTGCACCTCCTCAAAGTAAAAGTCCAGGGTGAAGACCTTTGAGTAGGTGGGGTTGACGCAGCAGCGAATCACCTCAGTTCGGTCCACCTGCAGGACACATGGACACATTTGGACTCATATTTGACACAGTTTAATCCGGACACAGAACCCGATGAGTGTTTGAGATGGTTCAGTGAAACTACGATACACAAGAAAGCCAGGAAGTAAAGAAGCTGCACGCTGTCCCTGTGTTTGTCCAACATTGTCCTGGTGTCAGCAGACAGATGGCGTCTATGCTGGAGCTCCTCGTCCAGCTCTAATTAAAGAAGTTCTAATTGGTCGGCTCATCCAACACGGACTGAGAGGACAGCTGATGTCCCGAGTCCTGCAGGAGCGTCTTCTTCTGACTGAAAGTCCTCCAGCAGGCTCGTCTGAAGGACAGAAGTCCTCCAGTTTTAATAACGCACAGAGCATTTTCATTAAAGTCACCTTTCATGACCAAAGCCTGAGAGAAAATAAAACTGGATCATTAAGGAGTTCTTTAAAGTTTAAATCTGGATCATTCTCAGAAAACAACTTTCTTCTCCCGGGCTTCTTTTTGTAAAAATCTAAGCGGACAAAATGTTCTGACGAATAAAATCAAGATACAGATTAAACTGTGGATTCTGTTGAAAAGTTTAGATATCTGTAAAACACGGCAGAACAAAATACAGACACTGTATTCAAATAAAATATTCTGATGGTACCACAGGTTCTGGTTGATGATAAGTTAAAGAGCCTTCACTTCCTGTTTGCTGAGCTCAGAGATGATGAAGTCAGTGGGAGTTTGGGTCTGCAGCAGAACCTACAGCTGGATGGAGAACCTGTGGAAGAGAACCAAACAGGACTGGCTTCTTTTACCATCCACGGCTGTCTGGGGGGGGGGGGGGGGGGGGGGGCAGCTTTTAGTGACTGTTGTCTCCATTGTTTGACGTTCTGCTGTCAGAACTCTCTGTTCCTGGTAGATCTGAGGTCAGGACCTGAGGTCAGGACCTGGCTAGGGTCTGGGCTCTGTCTTCTGGTTTCTACTGGGTGTTTTACTGGATTTGAGTCGGTTTTGTTCTGGTTCTGTTCTCTGCCTCTAAACGTTCTCACTTCTTTAGTATTTGTTGTTTTCAACCATCTTGATGTGGGTTTTGTTGTTTTATTGCTGTTTGCTGCTGTAGAGCACTTTGTGTTGCACTCTGTTGTATAAAAACTGTTATAAATAAAGTTTGATTGGCTCGAGATTTGAAGTAAAACGACAAAGTTTGACGCTCGCGTCACTTCAGGCTCTAAAAACCAAAACAACAATGGAGCCGTGTTATTTCAGTTTTTACTTTCTGTGTCTGTCTTCGTCCTGAGCCCACCAACATCAAACCCTGATCCTGAGAGGAATCAAAATTAAAGGTAAAATGTTCTGTCCATGTTTGGATGTTTTGTGGAGTATTTTAGCATAATTAAATTAAATTATTTGAATGAACTGTGAAGACTTGGCCAGTTTAAACTCATGTAGACAGAAATTTAATAATCAGAGGTTTTATCTGATAGCCCGGTGTCAAAAGTTGTAACAAAAACTATTGTCATTAACTATTGTATAAGTTATAACCATAGAATCAAAATTTTATTTATCGACTAACCAATGAAAAAACAGTCAGCTTTTTGAGGGAAACTCAACGTTTAAACAGACAAAACCAGAATAATCCAGATGTTTTCTGCTTTGAATTGTGTTTAATTTTGTTTGTTCTGTGTTTCGAAGGCGAACGAATCGAAGCTTCTCCGTTTTATTGAAGTGTTGTTTGTTTAACTCCCAGGAGCTTCTGAAGGCTGGAAGGTTAGACTCAATGTTTAAATTAAAACCATTTAAATATCCACTCCTTCAGTACTTCCTCTTTAACTCATAAATTAGTCATTAAAATGGGTCAGCGGCACACATCCAGTAAATTATGTCAGATCGGACTCCGTTAACAGCCAGATGAGAAATATGAATCACAGGAGCACAGAAAGGTTGAATGTCCGGAGCAGCTTTAGTTGGAATTTCTGAATCTATAAAAATGATATCTCTTATCTCCTGTCACACCAATAAACAAGTAGAACAGCTTCAACACCTCAAATCCTGAGGACTAAAAAACAGAGAACAAAGAATTAAAAAAAAAAAACAGATTTCACACTGTATTGTCCCTGAAGGCAAACACTAAAGAAACCTGCTGCTTGTCCAGCTATAAAAACTACATCTGAGACTCACAAACATGACAACTACGTCAAGTGTTGCAAACACAACCAATTCAATTGGTACAAACACAGCTCAGTCAATTGTTACAGACAACTGAGTCACCTGTTGCAAACACAACTGAGTCAACTGTTACTAACACAACTAAGTCAACTGTTGCAAACACAACTGAGTCAACTGTTACTAACAAAATTGAGTCAACTGTTACTAACACAACTAAGTCAACCGTTGCAAACACAACTGAGTCAACTGTTGCAAACACAACTAAGTCAACTGTTGCAAACACAACTAAGTCAACTGTTGCAAACACAACTGAGTCAACTGTTAC